AAAAAAAAAAAAAAAAAAAAAAATTAGCCATCTCAGTAGCTTCACACATACAAACAAGGAAGATGTTTATTAAAAAAAAATATTTATTAATTTTTACACCTGCTGAGTAGCACAAGACTATTAACACTATAACTCACTGAATGTACAATAAATGTTCACATTTAAATAACAGGATAGGGTCAACATTTTCAACCTGTGGGTCAGCTTTAGCATCTCATGAAGTGCTTTTTAGCCCTAGATATCTTGAGAGTTTTTTGAAAGGATAATTCCAAATCAGAAAACAATTCAAGATCAAAACAATAGGTCTTTCCAGAATAATAGGAATTTTACATGATGAAATGTCTATTTATGTGGGCACAAATCAAACAATAAAAATGTAAAATCTATACGTAACCTACTCTGAAATTTTCACACTGCACTGATTGAAGTTTAGAGTGCCAATGCGTCTGAAGAGAGGCCACAATATAAACATTGGCTACACACATTTTTCCCCCATATATTGGTCTTCAGATGGCTTTAATCTACCATCTCTTCAAATCCAAGTCCTTTTGAAAATCTATCAACTTGGAATGAACGTGCAGAATACCTGATCTTAAAGAAGTGTTGTTTGGCTTTACTGCCACCTGCATCTCTGGTTGATACAAAATAGTTTCAGATCCTTTACTTACTCCACATAAGGACAAAAAAAAGTAAAAAAAAAATTAAAATTAAAATTAAAAAAAAAAAAAACTTAGATGGCAAAAAAACAGAGAGGTCCTTCCAAAGTATTTTCTTCTGTGTATTGTACAACTTGAAATAACTGGCATAAAATGAACATTCCGTTCAGTGACAGATTTCTATTTTAATCAATAAGTTATTCCTGAGGGAAGGGGAGGTACCTTGCTGGTTCAAATTAAAAAGGACCCAACAGGGCCAAATGTAAGGTGTAAAAATTAAACTGGACCTTTGGCAAAGTCTAATATTCCCCACCTAGTCTTTCTAGATTGGACACTAAGATATTTACAATCATTACACTGTGGGACTTTGGGACCCAGAGTCTCTGTTTTGTGACTCAGGGTCAATATTTTCTATTGAAAACATCGACATTACCTCTTTGTTACCAAAGAGAGAGTCCATCCCTAGTTCCTACACATTTATCAAGTATCTTTCTCATATTCTCTTAGTGCCCAAATTTTCAGGGATAACTGAATGGATGAGGTCTCAAAAATAAAGTGCAAAATCTACATATTAGTAAAGTTATTTCAACAGAATTGTTTCCTTTCCAAGAAGGTATCTTTACTGTGATGAAGCCTATACTTTTAATTTACAGAATGAGTTTTTACCCAGAAATGTAAATAAAATAGATTAGCTAACTTCATTTGAAATTGAAGTTAGGTCTTTCTATTCTGGAGTGGTAAGTTCTATCACACAATAAGTACTCTAAAAATGCGTTAGTATGTCACAAAAAGTTGTTAAAATACATTCTGATTTCTGCGATGTTTTATGTGTACAATTGGAATGTACAGTAAAAAGAAGGGAAATACTTTCTCCCCATTGAATTCATAGTTAACAAGACTGCAAACAGGAAGACATGTAAAAAAAAAAAAAAAAAAAAAAAAAAAAAAAAAAGAAAACAAAACTGTCACTGAGCAGATTTTTTCCCTCTCCCAAATGACAGTGTAAGATACATAAAGATTAGATTTCTTCCATATCCCTTATAATTGCCTTGACATATAAATGGTCCCAATATTTCTATTTTTCCCCTAAGTGTGAAGGTGGTCATCTTATCAAAAGGTCCAGATGAGTTATAATATGCAGAAGTTAAAAGTGTTAAGAAATAAGGAGGGCCACTTTTCCATCCAACCTTAAAGAATGTTCATTTTAAGACAGCATGAGAAGTATTAAAATACACTGAATGATGTGAGTTGAATGTACACCTGGTAAGATCAAGGAATTCATCCTTCACCAGTGAATGGTAAATGGATCCTGCAAGGCAGGACAAGGCTTCAGTGCTTTCCACTTTATCTATACATAATTATCTTAGTAATTTTTCTTGGTACCGATATCTTGAATACCTCCTTCTTAATACACCACAACCAGAGAACGGGAGGCAAAGCTTTAATGTAGGAGTTCAAATTCTGCTGACATCAAACAAACCTTTTCTCTTACAGGGAGTCTACCATTGTAGACTAAGAAAGTAACTTCTATCAGAACAGGAGGTTCTGGCCTAAGCTGCTGAAGGCCAGCATCTGTGCAAAGCACTACCAGTAATGGCCTGCCAACAGTTTTCCCAAAGAGGCAAGTCGTTTTGTTTTGTTTTGTTTTGTTTTGTTTTGTTTTGATCAGCAATAAGAAAAATCTAGACAACAATTTTTCCTTCAGAACATCACTGTCAAACCTATTCATCATTTTTATTTTCATATTCAATAGGCTCCCTTTGTTAAATTACTGAAAATGCAAACTCAGAAGATGAAGCAGTTCTGACCTAATGAAATGCCCCTCTCCTATGGTGCCATGGCGCGGAATTAAGAAGTCCAGTGGCCATGAACTTGGCACATCCTTTCTCCACCTTTGGTACAAACGTGATACACCACTTAATATTTCCACAAAGGAAAAGTAAGGCCCACCAATGTATTAAAAAAAACAACTCAAGAGCAAGGCAAAGTCTCTCCACCTTGAAATCCACTTTCCGCTTAAAGGTCTCCATTCCATGGCAGAAGTTCCTAGGGTTTGAAGAGTCATTTTGGTAAAGATGACCTTGATAAAAGAAGCCCTGGGGTGTGTACAGTGTCAAAACTGTGGTTTCCAAATTCTTGAGTGAATGATAAATCTTAAAAAAGAGTTCCAACTGTTGGAAGCTTTCAGACTTCTGAATGAGAAAAGACATGATGTGACTGCTGGATTCTAGCTCCAGGGTGGAAGTTAAGGTTTAGTGATATGCACTTCACTGCTCCCATTCCCGTTGGTGGTGGCTGTAATGATGTACTGTGTGGGCTGCTGTTGGCTGGTGGTCTGGGGGTCCAAGTCACCGTGTGTGGCTGGCTGAACCTGGACTCCCGCAGAGAGAGCAGAAGCTTGCTTTTCCTCCAATTCTGGTTGACCTTCTGATAACACATAATGACCCTAGAACAGAAAACAAACAAACAAACAAAAGATCTTTAGAAATCTGAGGTCTAAAACTGGTGGGGAGGTTCTTGGTGGAAAGAGAAAGAAGGAATAGGAAAGGAGATGTTACAAAGTAACACCAAAATAGACACCTATGTTAGATGTTTTATGTAAGTGCTTTAGAGGGGATGGATCAGAGTAAGAGACTACAAAGGTAATTTAAAGGAGCGCTTTGATTGTTCTACCAAATGAGATAGTGAAGAGCTTCAGGTACAGAAATTTGCATCATGACAGCAATCTATGTAGCAAAGGAAAACACGTGCTATTGTACTACTCCTAAGAATTTTGAAATTCATAAGATTGCTGTCTGTAGATTAATTTTTTGTTTTTTGTGAGTTTCTTTGCTAGAGTAATACAAAATACATCACAGAAGAGATAAAGTTTCCTTAAAGAGGCAGAATGGCTCCCAAGACCAGTAGTCAGGGTCAGAGGTTCCTAGACTTCAGAATTTCATAGATGAGCAAATTAAAAGTAATAATAAATATTCCCAAATTTTATTTTACCAAGTAAAGTCATTTTTAAGACACTAACTGTCAAATGAGAGAAATTTTAACACTCAAAAGCATAGGAAGAATACAATCGCAGAATGAAGTCCCTTACATTGAATAAATTTAGCTTTATGGAAATATGCATTGTCATTATTCTTTCTCTGATCGTGAAACCTTCACAGACCTGGAGCTAGCTAGTCCCTTAAGTTAACATTTTTAAAGAAAGAATGTGTCCATTGGTAGGGTGATTGGTCTGCTATATAGGCTAGAAAAAAGAAGTCACAGAAGAAAGCCCAGACAGTAGCCTTTCCAAGCACTATCCAGAACAAAAGCCATAGCCAAATAACCATTTGTTATATCTAGGGCCATGTGCTCTGAGTGCACACTCATCAATCTCTGATAATAATCTGGTTTCCCATGTGGGTCTTTCTCTAACAGGAAGGGGGCTGTTTCTCCACTTAGGGTCAATGAACTACTAGGTGGTCCACAGGTAGGCTTTAGAAATTCTACAAACCCTGGAAAATGTACCTTAAATGTATGTGTGTCTCTGTGTGTGTGTGTGTGTGTGTGTGTGTGTGTGTGTGTGTGTGTGTATTGTGGCAGGGAAAGGGGAACATCCTTGGCTATAATCAGGTTCTCAAACGAGTTCCTGGCCAAAGAAAGGTAAAGAGTCAGTGGGTCCCATAGGCAGTAAAAATTTCACTGATTATGCCAGCGAGACTATTCCATTTTATATTAGTTATGGTCTTCACTGACAATAGTGTTACTCTGGATTTATACATCTCTCCTAAGACTAGGGAATGTGAGTTTGTGTGCTGAGAAATGGGTAAGCTCTGAGCATGCTCTGGGAAAAACAATCAGGTTTTTGAGGCCACTAGACTACCCTGCTGCTCTCTGAGACTTCTTGGGAAACAGTCTTCCCTGGAAGACTTCCCAATATCCCTAGCCACATACAAGTATAATTCTTAATTTAAATTTATATACTCTGTTTTCTAATTACTTAGAGGCAAGCCAGAACAAACCAGTGAAGACAAAAACAGAGATAGCAGATACAATCAACATTGACCTGCCTAATCTAAATATAACAAGATAATTCATGGAAATGTTTTTCACCAGGAAGGGGATTGAATGTTTAAAAGAGTTCAGGGGCACCTGGATGGCTTAGTCGGTCAAGTGTCTGACCTCGGCTCAGGTCATGATCTCATGGTTCGTGCGTTCAAGCCCTGTGTCGAGCTCTGTGCTGACAGCTCAGAGCCTGGAGTCTTCTTTGGATTCCGTGTCTCCCTCTCTCTCTGCCCGTGCACCACTCACACTCTGTCTGTCTCTCTCAAAAGTAAATAAACATTTTTTTTTAATTTTTAAAAACAACAAAATAAAATAAAGTATTTTAAAAGTGGGACCCCTGGGTAGTTCAGGCCCTGCATTCAGTCGGTTAAATGTCCAATTCTTGATTTTGGCTCAGGTCATGATCTCACAGTTTGAGGGATGAAGCCCCACATTGGGCTCTGCGCTGTCAACACAGAGCCTGCTTGGGATTCTCTCTCCCCCTCTCTCTCTGCCGCTCCCCATCTTGTGTGCATGCTCTCTCTCTCTCTCAAAATAAATAAATAAGCTTAAAAATAAATTTAAAAAATAAAAATAAAATAGTTTAAAAGAGCTCCATAATATTAATTTTATTACTTTCTCCCAACCCAGTTGAGGACCAATAGTCATGAATACTCTCCACAAAGCACATAAAAAGGCAATCAATTGTGAATCTGTATGTATATGGACCTGGAAGGTTCATTATAGTTATTAATTGCATAGGTATTTATTGAGCATTTGCTATAATCCAGCCTCCTGTGTAAGGCACTGAGAATAAAGAGATAAACACCAAGACACAGCTTTCAAGGAATTCATTGTCTGCTAGGAAAAGATAGACAGTAAATCAATAATTTAAACAAATTAAAACAAGGGTTATAATATAGCATAAGGAGTTACGGGAATACAGAGGAGGTATTTCTAACTCAGATATGGGAAGCTAAGGAATAGGAAATAGAGGCAAGGGAGACTGGTGCAGTACGATGGACAGGAAAGCCCTCATCAGCAGGTAACTTACCGGCGTAACTGCCTTCACTTGGCCAGTGGTGACAGGAGTGGCCACACTGCTGTCTGTAATCACAAACTGACCTGGGGGAAGCGTCATCATTTGAATCTCTGATGCTGAAAAACAGGAAATATCCATATTTCAGTGGTCTCAGATTTTAATACAAGCTGTAGAAACAAATACCTAACCAGTGGCCACATTCCCCATTGAGACATTTTCATGTATTTGCTTGCTGTGAGAATTTTATAATGATATGATTTCTTGATATTCTGATAAGAATGATCATAGGAGGTTAGCAAAGAATTATCAAATATCAGAAACAATCAATGCATCACCCCCAAATGAGCCTTTGAATATCCATAAAACAAAATATTCAATGATTTTTTAAAACCTTGAAATAAGTTGCAAAGGTTTACCTCTTAGCTCCATATTTTTATCTTTTATATTCAGATTTGAATCACTGGCAAATGTATCCACTATTGCCTAGTAATCACAATGTAATCTAACTAGAATTCTATTACACTGCAGTGTTATTAAAGCAAATTAAAAACAAAGTTCACCCTAGCATCCAGTTGATGGTCTTTATATAATATTTTCCTTTAAAAGGACCCAAAGCTTCTGGCTTCTGGCTAATTCCCGAGCTGGTGCAGATCAGCACCAGCTGGGCTCATCAGATCATACCAGCATGCAAGATGTTATAAAAGACTACGAAGGGGGCACCTGAGTGGCTCAGTCAGTTAAGCAACTGACTTCAGCTCAGGTCATGATCTCACAGACCATGAGTTCAGGCCCTGCATTGGGCTCTGCCCTGACAGTTTGGAGCTCAGGGCCTGGGGCCTGCTTCAGATTCTGTGTCTCCCTCTCTCTCTGCCCCTCCCCTACTCATGCACGTGTGCTCTCTCTCTCTCTCTCTCACACTCAAAAATAAATAAAAAATAAAAAATGTTTTAAAAAGACTACGGAGTCATATAGAAAAGACACAGAGGCCAATTTGAAGATGCTCCCATTGGCCAAGGATGGCATAATCTTAGCATCAATAAGGGTAACAATGGTTTGAAACATATCCAATGTGTTGAAATTCATGAGAACACAATGATTCTAAGATACACACACATACCCCTCATTAGTCACCTTGGATAATACTAGGAAATAACTTATTATTTTGAAAATTGGTAAATGAAGGAGATGAACTGGATATTTAAGTGTAAAACTGTACTTTCCTGTGCAAACTGTACCTCAGAATCATCTGTTAAGACAAAAACTTTTTCTTTACAGAAGTTTCCTAGCTGATAAGTGAGTGAAGAATGATAGAATCAGAATGACAACTTTATGATTCCTAATGAAATAGTGGAACCAAGGAAAAAGACAGACAACCAAACATTATGTGCCTCCTGATGAAAGTACACACCACCAGCCATAAATATCTTATGGCAAAAAACTGAACCTGAATTTGATTGAGCCTCCAGTCAACAGGAAATAAAAGGGACAGAAGAAAGCATCTTAAATGATAATTTAGGAATGCCAACAGCAAAATCCAGAATGTGAGAAATTCTACCAAATGACTCAGTTTCTTCAACACAGAAGTTGCAACTTAAAAGAGAGAGAACACAAACATTAAAAAAAAAAAAAACCCAAAAAACAAAAAACAAAACTCAAGGGCTGGCTGGCTCAGTCAGTGGAACAGGTGACTCTTGATCTAGGGGTTGTAGGTTTGAGCCCCACATTGGGTATAAAGAATACTTAAAAATTAAAATCTTAAAAAAGACTCAAAAGAAATAACAAATTGCAATGCTTGAGACTTATTTGGTACCCAATTTGAACAAACAAATTATTAAAAGAAAAATTACGAGACAGTAACAGAAACATGAACACTGGGTATTTGATGGTTATTAGAGAATTGCTGTCATTTATTTCTAGCTTTGAGAACAGTACTGGAGTTGTGTTTTAGAAAATATTTATGGGGGCGCCTGGGTGGCTCAGTCGGTTGAGCGTCCTACTTCAGCCAGGTCACTATCTCGTGGTTCACGAGTTTGAGCCCCGCGTCGGGCTCTGGGCTGACAGCTCAGAGCCTGGAGCCTGCTTCGGATTCTGTGTCTCCATCTATCTCTGCCCCTCCCCTGCTCATGCTCTCTCTCTCTCTCTCTCTCTCTCTGTCAAAAATAAATAAAACATTAAAAAAATTTTTTTTTAAAAAAGAAAATATTTATGGATGAAATAATATGGATTATTATATAGTTGGAGGTCTAGGAAAGAATGATGGGGGGTACAGAGGAGACAAGATTGACTCTGAGTTGATAACTGAAGTTGGATAATGGCTACAAAAGCATTCATTATGCTATTTTATTTTTGCATATTTTAAATGTTTTCCCTAAAAAAAAAAAAAAAAAAAAAAAAAAAAAAAAAACTTCAATTCCAAGGGCATCTGGCTGGCTTAGTCAATAGAATGTGTGACTCTTAATCTCAGGGTCATGAGTTCAAGCCCCACAATGGGTATGGAACCTACTTAAAATTTTTTTTTTTAATTAAAAAAATTTTGTTTTTAATTAAAAAAAAAAAACCCCTTAAATTCCACAATCTTTTCTTCAGGTTGGAATACTAGCTCATACTATTATTACCATGGCAATCTTCATGATTCCACATTTCTTTAACAGGAATTGAACTTAGTGTAAATATCAGTGTACTCACCAGCATTCTGGTATTTCATGAGTAGGAATCTTTCCCTGACTAGAAACAAGACTAAACCCTCATTGGACCACCAATATTTAAGAGAGTAGATTGTAAATACAACTAAAAGGTAGAGTTTGAGCCTGATTCCATACCAAATGTATATAACATGGCCAAAGATCAATGACAATGGAGACGGACTCAAAGAAGGAAATCAATAGTAGAAGAATGATCAGCACCGGTCTCCCTTTCTTCTCCACTTCTGCTGCTCATAGTCCCTGCTCCTGAGGTCGAACTGTTCCTCTATTCCAGATCTTTGACCATAAAGATCTCACACTTTCCAGCTTATATCCAAGACTACCGTCCCCACCAAATCTGTTACCTTGAGCAGTCAGTCTTTTACTGCTTCTGTAACACTAATTGCAGAGCTGTGAAAGCAACTACTCATATCTCTTTCTCTCTACTAGATAATGATTTCTTTGAGCCAAAGACCATCTTATAAGGAGAGGGCACCCACAGTGGGGTGGTTTGGAGTATAAACTCTGAAGCCAGACTGCCTGGGTTCCAATCCTCTAAATACTTCAGAAACTAGGTACTATGTTCCTTGGGCAAATCACTCTGTGTCTGAATTTCCCTATTTGTAAAGCACAAATAACAACTGTACTTATAGGGGTTCCTAAGTGGCTCAGTTGTAAGTGCCCAACTCTCGATTTCAGCTCAGGTCATGATCTCACGGATCATATGTTGGAGCCCTTCATCAGGCTCTGTGCTGACAGTGCAGAGCCTGCTTGGGATTCTTTCTCTCCCTCTCTCTCTCTCTCTGCCCCTCCCCTGCTAGCTCTCTCTCTCTCAAAATAAATAAATAAATTGTGGAAAAATAATTATACTTACAGGTTGTTGTGAATCCTGAATGCAATATACATATGGTTTAGAATCATTCCAGGCACACAGTGAGAACTTAATAGAAATTGACTGACATTATTATTGTGTGGTGTTACTGATACGAATGTCAATATAAAATTTTTGTATACCCAGGATCTAGCACATCCTTTGATATGAAGGCAATCAACATATCCTACAACCACCTATTCTGCTCTTTAGTCTACCTGCCTCCACTTACTTCCTCTGGCAGTGTTCCTCATGTCTCTGAAATGGGTGGCTCTCTGAGATCAGAATGCTGCTTTGAACTTGGTCATGAAACTCATTCAAGTACATGCACTACAGACTGCAGAAAATGGCTAGTGATAATTTAATCCAGAACATCTATTTCTAAAGCTAATGAAACTATGACTCATGGCTGTAGATTTCCCCACCCATGAGCTACTCAGCATTATCCCCATTTCTTACAGTAGCCACGGAAAGAATTCCAAGCGTTGGGTAGGTAGGTGTGTTGTACAGAGGAGCCCTGCTGCTGCTGCTGGAGAGCCTGGCCGGGTGTGGAGGAACTGCCTTGTATATGGGAAGGACTGAGCCCTTGCTGGGACTGCTGGGAGGCAGGGCTCAAGGGCTGCCCAGATACCTAGAGAGAAAGACAAAGCAGGAGTAGAAAACAATGAATTTCCAGTAAAGACTCACAAATAACGGAAGAAAATAAATCTGGCTAACATGAATTATAACACTGAAAGTATCACTGCTAAAATAATAGTATTTTCAATAAGATCAGGATTAATGAAAAGCAATCATAACGATGCAGTCCTAATTAGCTTGCAAGGAATTATCTACAAGAATATCCCCAAAATTAATTTCACCAAGCTTACCAGAACGATAAGTGAATGAAAGTGTAATTATCTCCATTACATAAGATGTAAAAAATTGAGAAGCTAAAGGACTTGCCTGTATCACAAAGCGAATCTGTAGTAGAACCCAGAAATTATCATTTCCAGTGAGAACACTGGGAAATCCCACCCAGTTAGTGGAGATGAACACAGGTACACAGGCAGACATCCAGTGGAGAGGCTTACTCCTGTCCACAGGATAAAGTCCAAGCTCCATCGTTTGTGTTTAAGCCAGCTCCAAACTGCCTTTCTGTTTTCTCAAGCATCATTTCCTGTTACTAACCTAAACAGTTTTCCTTAAATGCACCAGTTGCCCACTCTGTGTCTTTACTCACAATGAGAGCACATTCAGATCTCAATGCCTTCCCCAACTACCATGTCAAAATCCTACCCCTCCTTCAAGACCTAATTCAAACACCACTTGCACATAAATACACTTGATTCCCTGCTAAACATAATCTTTCCCTCTTCTGAACCTTTATAACGTATCCATATAACCACATCGTCCTTAGACCCTGGCAAGACCCATCCTTAGACCACAGACCTGGAATATGTATCCCCTTAGAGGTGACATGTTGGGAACCAGAGTCCCCCATTCCCTGTGGAAACAGCCCTGTACCCACTTCCAGGGCTGCACAAGTGTCTTCCCTGGGTCTGTCATCCTGCAAGGGTCCTATCTTTTGGATACAGGCTCTGTTAATGGTATTTGGGCACGTGGAACCAAGGGGGTGGCCACTGGATCCCCATTTGCAAGAATGTGGAAGAAGCTGAGACGTGTGGGTCAGAGTATCTATGTGGGTACACAGAAGGCCCTGTGAGGTGCAGGCTGGAGGCTGCATGAGAAGAAAGGGAGAGCTGTCTTGGGGAAGGCTGTCCCTGTGCCACCATATTCTTGAAAAGGAACTCACAGGAGTCCCTCCAGCCTCTTTGAGAAACTTCGTGGTGTGATGCTAGGGGTTGGGGGGAGGGAGGCTGGGCCCTTTGTGGACAGAGGCAGCCTATCTGGGACTGGGAGAAGTAAGTAACAGAAACCTCGCGGTGGCTGGACCTCACACTAGAGGGAGGGGAAAGGCCGTCAGATGGCAAGAGGCACAGCCTCCCACCGCCAACGGCCCTCAGTAAACAGGAAGGCAGAGAAAGTAGGTGTTTATCCTATGGATTTCTGCAGCAATTCAAAGGGCACTGAGCCAGCAAAGGAGGGAAGAAATCCTTTCTCTCACTTCTTCCCACCCCAGCCAGGCAACTGCCAGTGCCACCCACGCATTTGGCAGAAATGCAAGCAATTTAGAATTGGCTCTATCCATGTGATTTAGGATCAATTATTACTTTACACATACTTTTCAATTTTGTTATTATGAAAGTATATGTATATATCAAGTTGGAAAACAGAACATTTTTTAAGTTGTTATTTAAATTCCAGTTAGTTAACATAGCATGTAATCTTACTTTCAGATGGACAATACAGTGATTCAACACATCCATACAACACCTGGTACTCATCACAAGTGCCCTCCTTAGTCCCCATCCCTTATTTCACCCATCTCCTCACCCACCTTCCCTCTGTCACCATCACATTGTTCTCTATAATTAAGAGTCTGTTTCTTGGTTTGCCTCTGTCTCTTTTTTTTCCCCTTTGCTTGTTTTGTTTCTTCAGTTCTACATATGAGTGAAATCATAAGCTATCTGTCTTTCTCCGACTGACTTATTTCACTCAGCATAATACTCTGTAGCTCCATCCATGTCGTTGCAAAGAATGTATTTTATTTAACAGTCTGTCAGCATGATTTAAAACTTTTAATTACCTAGGCACATGGCATACGGAACCAGTGGATATCAGAGGTGGGACTACGTGTATCCTTTCTGGTTCAGATACCTTCACTTCATATCCTGTTTCTTTCTTTTTTTCTCTTAAGTTTATCTTTGCTTATTTTGAGAGAGAAACAGACAGGAAGCAGGGAAGGAGCAGAGGCACAAGGAGACAGAATTCCAAGTAGGCTCTGTACTGTCAGCACAGAGCCCAATGTGGGGCCTGAACTCATGAACCGTGAGATCATGACCTGAGCCAAAATCAAGAGTCAGATGCTTAACCTACTGAGCCACTCAGGTGCCCCACCTCCAGTTTTATTTTATTTTTTAATTTTATTAATTTTATTTATTTTTTTAATGTTTATTTTTGAGAGAGAGAGAGAGAGACAGAGACAGAGCATGAGCAGTGGAGGAGCAGAGAGAGAGGGACACATAGAATCTGAAGCAGGCTCCAGGCTCTGAGCTGTCAGCACAGAGGCCAACGTGGGGCTCAAACTCACAAACCACAAGATCATGACGTGAGCCGAAGTCAGACCCTTAACCAACTGAGCCACCCAGGTGCCCCCCCCACCTCCAGTTTTAATATTGGCATTGTGGACACACTTGCTTTCAGTGATTAGCTTCCCCTGACCAAAAGGAGCCCTGTGATTTTACATCCTAGAGACTTTGCTTCCTATTCTAAAGGACTGTCTGATAGTATCCAATTGCTAAGGTGTTTCTTGAATTTTGGTGAGGAAGGTGACTTTGTGGAGTCTTATTGTGTCTGAATGACAGAGTCTGTTATTGAAAAAGCAGAGCTACATCCATTCAAAAAATATTTATTAACACCTTACCCTTCGCATGAAACTTTCCTAGGCTGTGTTACCCCCCGGGTGAACAGCCGGAGAGCGTACCTGGGATGACGATGAAGCAGGGGCAGTGGGCTCTGTGACTTGGATGTGCTGCACCTGGATGGCATGCTGGGCATAGGTCTGAGGATCGTGGAGCTGGCCGACGTCCACGGTGGACTGCTGAGACTGGTGAGGGGACGTGGCCTGGAGGGAGAACCAGATGCATATTGATGGAGAGTAAGGGAGATCCTTCCAGAGAAGATACTCAGCTAGGACAATATCCCAGCAGAAGAGCAGATGGAACTCGACAGCCTAAGCCTCACTCCCAGAGAGCCCATACCTGAGCCAAGCTGGTAAATGTTAGAAAAGAAGACAGTTGGGTTTTTTTTTAACGTTTATTTATTTATTTTTGAGACACAGAGGTGAGTGGGGGAGGGGCAGAGAGAGAGAGAGAGAGAGAGAGAGAGAAGGAGTAAGAGAGAATCTCAAGCAGGCTCCACACTGTCAGCACAGAGCCTGATGTGGGGCTCAAACTCACAAACCGTGAGATCATGACTTGAGCCAAAATCAAGAGTCAGACCCTCAACTGACTGAGCTACCTAAGTGGTCCAGAAAAGAAAACAGTTTTAAAAATTATGCTTATGTGGGGTGCCTGGGTAGCTCAGTCGGTTGAGAGTCCAACTCTTGATTTCAGCTCAGGTCATGATCCCAGGGTCATGGATCAGGCCCCACATTGGACTCTGTGCTGAGTGTGGAGCCTGCCTGTGACTCTCCGTCCCTCCTCTGCTCACGTACATGCACTCTCTAAATAAATAAATTAATAAATATTATGCTTATAAAACATAAGCCACTAACACTAACTCTAGAAAAGAAGGAGATAGAAGGAATACAGCTCCTTATAAAAAGCTGGAATGAGAAGCTCTCAGGAATCAAGTCTTTTTCCATTAAGCTTCAATTAAATTTAATGACCTACCCTTGATCAGTTAAAAGAGATCAAACAAGAGAGTTTGCTTTTAGCTTTTGTCACTATTGACCCACTATGATAGTGTTTCCTAACCTTTTATGTATCCCAGACATCTCTGAAAACCTGGCAAAAGTACAGTCCCCTTTTCTAGAATAATGTACATATACATCATACTCTACAGGCAACTTCAGGGATTCAAAGGTTCCTCCAAAGGCTGAGGTTAAGAACCTTCCCAAAGGGAAAAAAAGGTAAAGAACAGTCAATGACAGTAGCAACTCCCCATTTCCCTCTCTGGTATTAATTCTAAACTTTCAGAGACCAAATGATTTCAAAGCAACAAGTTTGTTCATTTGTGCCTTGAGTACACTTCCTCAGCATAATTAAGTAAAACAATAGTTTAGGGAGGATTCCTTCTTCTAGCTCCCTAATTAGTGAGAATGAGCTACTAATCGTCTGATAGAAGGAACACAGTTATACCTCTGTAGTAATAAGATATTGACTGACACTCAAAACTCACAATTACTCTTCACAACCTCCCACTCATGTTAGTTGTTCGATGCCCACATAGGGACTTATCAAGCTGGTTCCTCACCACATAGTCAACTTTGGTGCTCAAGGGTCCGGAAGAGGCTCCGAAAGAGTTCATATGGTACTGTCCTGCAATGGCACGGGATTACAGCGTACACTCGAGCCTAAAATCTCTACACTGCTATTGAGAGGAATCTCTTACACTGCTGAGTCCAGAGCCCTCTATAGCTGGCGGGGGGGCACGGGGAGGGGTTTACAAATGCCTTAGACTCAGAACTTAGGTGCACAAGCACATTCCGTCGGGTCCAGCCCCAGCTCTGAGAGTTGGGTGCTTGTGATGGCCCGCCTGCCATATTGGCTAGTGGCAACATGGCAGGCACGAAGGTAAAGAGAAGTAGGTGTGATACGGTACCGGAGCCACTTGCACCACCTGCAGCTGTATATGCTGCGGTTGCTGAAGACCAGATGTAGACTGTGACACAGGAATATACTGAATTCTCTGGTAGTCCCCTTGCGGCGTCCGGTAATCTGTTGTTAACGTCTGGGACAGCTCTGTCATGGCTTGGGTCAGGAGGTCTGTTGTCTAGAAAAGTCACCAAAAAACACATTAGCTGGTAACACTCCTGCTTGTACAAACTAGCCCTGAGCTCAGATAGGAAAAAATCCAAAGGTGAGAAGATGCTGGAAGATTACCTATATATCTGTATCTATCTCTCTGTGTCAGGCCCAATGGAGTTACCCTCTCGCCACAGAGGAGCAGCACTGAATATTTCTTGCTACCCCTTGTACAGAGAGCTTTGGAAAGCATCGACTAGGAGACCAACCAACCATAAGCATAATGCCCTGTGCAGAAAATTGAAGGAAAATGGGCTACATTTGCAGCCAATTAAATAGCAAGATAGACACAAGCTGTGGAAATGGAAGCTGTGATAGGCACTGAAGGAGGTGAGGTGCCCTCCTCAGTCACACACTTACCACCACGGTCTCTCCAGTGGCACTGTCTGTGGTTAACACAGCTGGGGTAGCACTGATCACGGCTGTTGTCAGTGGTGTATGTAAGGTGTTAGGGAGCTGGGCATACTCTGGATGCTTCTTTCGAATGTGTTGTACCATCTTGGTCTGAAAAATTACGGCAAAACCAAGAATAATTACTAGAATTTGTTGTTTTCCACCCTTCTCAAATGTAAACCCTCCAAAGATTCCTAACGTCTTTAATGCCTTAAAAAAACAACAACGACAACAAAAATACAGTGATGCTGACGCCACGCCTGTTCCTCCCAAAGCAGCACAACAGTATGAAAGAGAAAAAGAAAGAGGCTGAAAAGAAATTGAAGATTCATGTGACCCCCCACAATGTCAAGCAAGGTCAGAATACCTCATAGCATCCCCTAATCCACCAATACGTACAGCAATCAATCACAACCTCCCCCCAACCAAGAATGACCCCTTTTCAAGATCTATCACATAAGTTCCTATGTAGTGTTTCTGTAAGCCTGAGCTCATAAACTATGATCATAGAATATTCAAATATCAGACCCTCCGCAGACCAAGGGAAGAGGAAACCAATCGAGTGCTCGGCCTATATATGAGATGCATTAACTGGGGAAATTCCACTATTCTGTTCTCATTTTGGACTTGCGGTCCCTATTCTCAGGAAGCAGCTCCTTAGCCATCTGACCTAGGAAAACAACTCCGTTAGTGCCCCATCAATTCAGAGCAAGTGAATCGCCACCTTCTCTTAAGAGATTCCTTGAATAATGACCTTGATTCAGATGCAGTCAAAGCCTTTCCCCATACCTTGCTGCTGTACTGTTTGGAGCAGTGAGGGCAGCAGACGGGAGGGGTGGCGATCGTGCCAGTGAGTTGGGTGTGGGTGCTCAGCATGGGGTCTGGTTCTCCAGGGCCAGCTGGACGGAGTTTGCGAATGCTTGGTGGGAGCTCAGCCCCTGGATGGTTCTTCAGAATATGGGCTTTTCGCTTGCTGGCACTTTTATAAACCTGCAAATTCAAATGCTCCACCATGAAAGCGGTATGCGGTTCCACTTTCTTACTTAAAGCAAACTAACGGTTCCACTGTTAGGTATGAGAAATGAGAAAAAGCATTCATGTAGCCCAAAATAAAATATATTAGCAGATATATTAAAGGATAATAAGGATATAACCTAAATAAATAAAATAAGAACATAATATAGATATGCTAAGTATCTTCTTGGAATTTATATATCTAAGATAGTAATAATAAAAATACGCTTTACCCTAAAGTTTAAGAGGTGGTTACATAATCACAGAAAAAGGATTGTTTCAAAGGCCCATTCATCCCATTTTGCCTTTCTGCAAAAGCTCCCATATGTTTACTAGTACTAGATGCCAAAGAATCCTCCAAAATGGCAAGTCTAATAGCGACTAGTACCTGAAATGATGAATCTACACTTTAGAAAGCTTCCCAGTTTTAAGCTGACACAACTACATTGTTATATAAGGGAACAATATTGCAATGGAACAATGCGTGTATATTCTGTCTTTCTGTAACTGCACAAAAGTAAGAATGAAATAGTACAAAGAGTCTTCCATTGCAAAACTTCTCTACATCCTACTCAATCTTCTAGAAATCCAAAACCTGTATATTTTACAAGGAGGATGATGAACACCTTCACTTTGGAGCTTAGGAATTTGAAATGAATTCATATACTAAGCTCCTGGTAAGCCTCTACCTTTACAACAAAAATCACAGAATGAAGGAAAAGTGTTAAACACAAAGTCAACTAATGCTTCAGAAAAAAAAAAAAAATTGGCTTAAAATGAGGCTGCGCTTCTAGCCCTTTCTCATCTGAATGGAAAACTACCGAGAGACAGGGAACCATCTGTTAAGAGTAACTGCAAGATCCGAGTATGTATTTATACATGCAGACACATGGGCTCTGCGCAGGGCTCCCAGAGAGACACGTTGCCTTTTACCTTATCACAATACTGACAAAAGTAATCGCGGTTGGGTTTTATGATGGGCAGAGTTAACTCTGGCACCTCTTCTATCTTCATGTCTGGGTGCCTCTTTGATAAGTGATTTACCTAAAGAGGGGAAGAAGCAAATGAGAAAAAGAGAGCCCATTACAGACAGACACTAACCAAACGCCCCTGGTCTAGACTGCTGGAAGTTGGCATTCTCTGAAGCAGTGCCCCAAAACAATAGGGCATGTGGCCAGAACCAGCACTGCCAGGCCCATCTGACACCAAGCCTTAACAGTCAACCATTGACGGGAGCTAACAGTAATTCAGCAAATTACTGAAGGGGAATTGGGTCACTGCAGATTCCATTAACACTCTGACTGGAAGACCCGCTGATGGAAAATTGAAAATTACACTGGCACGAATTTCGTTGTTGAATTCTCCTGATGCAAACCTGTCTTTCATTGTTTAGTGCCCTAGCCTTACTGAGGACACTGAATGAGATGCAAACTCAGGTTCTAAGTTGTAAATAATGCCCTATGCCTTTAGCTGCCAGCAGAAATATATTCTGCCAAAACCGTAATGAGGTCCAAATGAATTGAGGGCAGTGAACTGGCTACCCTAATGTGTCTGCTAACCTGGGTTCACATACCCAGCTTTGAGGGGCAGTTTCCTTTTAGTATCGTGTCACATCTGGAAAAGGGAGCAGTTGGAGACAAGGAAAGACCTCACCAGAAAATATGTTCAGGAACACAAAAGAGAAGAGGGAAATAAAGTATAAGAGCAGAGATTGAGAAGGGTGAAGGCAAAGAAAACTAGTAATGAAAAGCGACAGAAAAAGACCTCTCCCAAGAGGTCACCAGAAATGAGCTGCGGCAAAGGAGGGCAGGGGGGGCCTGGAAAGGAGAGAACCCCGTTGGGCATTACGCACTTCCAGCTTCTCCCCTAACCACGGACAGAACCTACTGACCAATCTTGTACAGGATACTGCACAGAAGCCAGCCCCATAAACAGAAATAGGTGGGTCTGGAAGCCGTTTGGCACTGACCAGCATGCCCCGTCTCCGGAAGCCCATCATACACAGGCGGCACTTGAACGTGAAGCTGTCGTAGTCCGTGGACGTGATACGAGGCTTGAACGTCTTGGAGCGGCTGATGCGGTCGGCTTTCTTGGCCTCTCTCTCAGGATTATGCATCCTCTGCATATGTTCCCGTAGTTTGTCTTTTCGCTATTTAGAGGGAAGTTTTGAAAAGGCAGGGGAGTGGGGAGCAGGGGTAGAAAAGCTTTCAATGAAAGGATTAAAAAAAGCAATACAAGTTCCTAGTAAGCACAACCTGCCATGATGCACCTGAGTTGCTAGGGTGCTGGAGGGTACAAGGACATGAAAAATGACCGGGGATTACTCTGTCCACTAGCAAGTAAGTGTGTCCCACTGAGCCTTGGTCTCTGAGAAGAAGGACTTCACGTGTATATGGAAGAGATCAAAGGATAATGGAGTAGGTTTGGTATTATGAACCACAAGGTAAATTGATAATGGATGATAAGTAATACTAGATCTACAAAGCCACATGAATGCTCAATTCCCACACATTTTAGCAAATGTTATGATATTCTTCTAAATCCCACATAAATTTAAGAATTTCTCATTTTGTGGATTTAGAGGTTCAAGTAAACAATTCCATGACCCACTGTGGATGGAGCATAACGGTCTAGGTCACAGATCTTAGTTTGATGACCTCATCTAGTGATACATGTTGATATGAGTCCGTAGAGAGAAAATCAGGCAGAGCCCATCCCGAGTAAAAACGAATTCAAACAAATGCCACCTCCCTTATCCAGCGTGGCTCTCTTCTCTCACACATATGATTAAACTGTTACTGGTCTTACAAAGTTTTTTTTTTTTTTTAATGTTTATTTATTTTTGAGAGACAGACAGAGACAGAGTGCAAGCAGGGGCAGGGCAGAGAGGGAGACACAGAATCTGTGTCTCCCTCCAGGCTCCGAGCTGTCAGCACAGAGCCCGACATGGAGCTCAAACCCACGAACCACAAGATCATGACCTGAGTCAAGGCTGGACATCCAACCGACTGAGCCACCCAGGTGCCCTGGTCTTATAAAGATTTTGATCCTGCTCACCATAACAGTCTTCCCCACGTTTCCGTATAGGGACTTTTATTTAACCACTGCATTTTTCAGTGCATTTAACAAGTATTTCTTGAGTGCCCACCACGTATCAGGAACCACGCCGAATTCAGATTTCCAAAGCTCGGCACCCCTCACCTACCTCTCCCTTCTACACGACACCCAGCTGCTCTTTCCTCCTACTGTCACCCACCTAATTCCTGGAAAGCCCAGGAGAGAATTTGAGAGTCTCCTTATTTGCAGTAAAGTCTGGATTACAAACTCTGCCCTAAATAACAGTATTTATCTTTAGTCTCTTTAGATACAGTGATCAAAGTCACCGCCTCAGACTTCTGTTACGTTTCTATATTCACCAATTTCCCCCACCTATTCCCTTTAAACAAGCCAATTTATTTTTACTGAATCACTGCCTAAATCCAAAAGCCTACTACTAGTGCTTCTCTGTGCTCTGCATGCAGAGACAGACATGTTTGCTGAAGGACAAATCTCAGCAAGGCTTTTCCATCCTAACAGCCCTAACACCAATCCATTACGCCCCTACTCTCTCCTCCTGCCTAAATCTTGCTGCCGGATCACCAACTTTCCCAAACACCTAGCCTCCCAAGCTACAAATCCCAAGCCCTCGTTGTCTAACCATCAGCCTTTCATCCAGACACAAAGTCCTACCAATTCTCCCTCAGACGTTTGTTTTGAATAGGGGCCCTCTTCTCCGTGCCCACTGCCTGTGCCTTAGTTCAGCCCAGCTTTAAAATGCCTCTGGGGCGTCTTTATCCCTCTCTCCCTCCCTCCTCCTCCTGTCCCTTTCTCTAGCAGGCTAACTCTTCCCCACCCTTTCATGAATTCAAGGGTCACCTTATTTATGAAGTCTCTCCTACACCCGGAGTCAGAGTTCATCCTCATGGCATTTTATTCTTTTCTTTATTACAGTAGCAGTAATAATGTTTTTAAGTGCTATTTATTTAAGTAATCTCTATATCTGACACGGGGCTCGAATCAAGACTCTGAGATCAAGAGTCACACGCTCCTCAGACTAAGCCATCCAGGTGTCCCTCTAATCTTCTCTTTAAACTGAGAGTTCCTGAGGCGTCTGGGTGGCTCAGTCAGTTAAGTGTCCGACTTTAAGCTCAGGACATGATCTCATGGTTCATGGGTTCAAGCCCCTGCATCAAGCCCTCTGCTGTCAGCGCAGAGCCCGCTTTGGATCCTCTGTCCCCCTCTCTCTGCCCCTCCCCCACCTGCACCTTCTCAAAATCAAATAACCATTAAAAAAAATTTTATAAGAA